AGGGTAAAATGCACTCACAACCTTGCATGCCAAAGTAAAATTTATATTATGACGTGGCACCTTTACTATATGGTTTTTTTTAATTTCTCGATCGTAAAATCTTTACTTTTGCCTTAAAATTATAAAAATAAATAGTACATAAAAAAGTACTATATATTTCTGGGCAGCTTTCTTAATATTGCAAAAGAAAAGTTTTGCAAAGGATACAATCAGACTACTTGGCTAGTTTTCTAGATGCATTTTTCCTGTGGCTACGCCAAACTATATGTAGGGTAATCACAACTTCATCATACCGTTTCCGAGTAATAGGCAACTTTAAGCCAAGTTCTTGTTCGAGACCATCTTCAGATAGTCTTAGAAGAAGGTCACCGTCAAGCCCAAGTTCGATAACGGTAGAGGCCAATTTGGTAAAGCCAATGCGGGCCAACCAACAAGCTACTTCAGATGGTGTCCAGTTGGATACTTTGGCAGAGAGGATGCGAGGTACTGGGAGGCCAAGATAGCCGAGTGCACGACAGGCCAATCGAGCATAAGGCCAGGAAGTGATAGAACCGGCTAAGCGTCGAAGGGCAGAAACTGCAGAGATGCGCGAGAACAACTAGTGAAAGGAAATGAAAGGTTTAAACAAAGCTAAAATAAAAGATAAAAAGAATAAGTGAAACGAATCAAAGGGAAGGAGAATAACAGAAAAAATAGGGAATCGAATAAAGAAGATCCAGATACGCATATAGCAATAAAAAAACATTAAGACGATGTTTGAAAAAACATGGAAGTATCATGGTTGGTAAAAAAGAGGATAATTACAGCTCCATATATATACATATATACATGTGCATGCATCCGAAAATTCATTACAGAGACCAGTAGGCCTCCATGAAAAGGTAATCAGGAAGTAACATTTTTCTTTCAGAAAGAATGATAATATACATAAAACATTTAAGTAGTTGGCAAGATGAAGCATAGATGATTGATCTGAAGTCTGTTTAATATACAAATAGTAATATATATTCTGAGAAGTTTAAAAGATCTAAAAATGGCTTCGAATGTAGAGTATAAGGTCATTCCTGTCATG